TAACATCAATAGGTCATTCTACTTAATTAATAATTATAACTCCACCCACTAATTAATAATAATTAATCCATTACCAAAAACGACTCTGTGGAATATGGTATCATTATAATAATCTTCTAAACACAATTGTATGAAGTTACGACAGGCCAGAGGAGCCTCTTTGGACCACAGTTCAATATCAATATCACCCAGTGTGGTCTTTAATAGTACCTGAGGGGAGGGGCCAGTAGTCACTAATACAGCTGCTGCTGGATTAACTACCTTTCCTTTAGTAGGGGGCTCTGTTATATATATGGAACTCATTCCAAAGAAAAAAAAGACTCCTCTTCCCACTTCAGTATACTTTCCGTTATACTCCGTATAATTAAACCACGTGCTTTCACATGGACAATAATATCTATGCTAAAATTATTGACACTTAACTTCTGGGCTTTCATCATGACATGTGCAAGGCTATATTCAAGCAACTTCTTCTATTCAATACCCCAAAAAACACAATTTTTTTCGAAATAAACAGGCATATAAGAAAAATCACACAAACAAATGAATGTACTTAATTCAAATTCAAAGCACACAAAAACTAATAAATTATTTTATGCAGCAGTTGATAATGTTAGCAGGATCAATCTGTTTTACTCTCTATAATGGTAACATAAAATGTCAGTTACTAATGAAATTAGTTTAACTTACGTTCCAATCCATTCACTATATCAGTGACTTGTTTCTCTCCAAGTTCTTTTAATGCTGAGCACACGTCATTTAGATATGTCTCAGGATTAGCCTGGGCATCAAGAGTAGTCTGTATTGCAAGTACTAGCTTGGCAGCTTTTATTACATCGTTATCACGACCAGTAATCATTTCCTTATGTAGCTCCTGTGATATCAGTCTCCTAGCATTAAGTTTCAATGACACTGTAACCAGACAAGATAATATGGAGCCAGCAAGTCTATCAGAAGCATCTCTAAATCGGTCTGAAGCACCTAAATTGTATCAAATTAAAGTATGCTGTTTATTATTAATTTATTTACTTAATTTTAAAATGGATATAAGTGGATCTTCTGATGATGCTTTGGTTTCTAAGAAATAATAATATTTAAATTTTGAATAATTAAAAATGATGCTAATATATCAATGGCGGTTACCTAATTTTACCTAATAATTCAGTAGATTTAATCTTAGTAGGTGGACCTTCTAATGATGGCTTAGCTCCTAGGAAATAAAAATATTTTACTGTACATGTGGGAAAAATAACAATAATAAATAACACAATGGCATCACATAGCTTGATTATTCTTTTTAACGTGTTTTACTGACCTAGACTGGGAGAATCACTAAAAAACCAGCATTTATAGCTATTATCTCTCTCCAATACTTTATATTTTGTTTCACAAAGAGTGCAATGAGAATACCAGGTAGAAGATTTATCATCTTTCTGGACGATGCAGTAACATTGTTTGTTTTGGGGGCATTTGAATGCAAAAATATGATCATCATCAACATTAAGATCTTTCCTACTTTTTTTGATAGCTTTTGTGACTAGTTTACAAATACTTTGACAAGAATCTTTGCAATCACCACGAAAATGTATTTCAATATGTGTATAGCGATTGATGATGTGTATATGGTGATCATTGTAAACACGAAGTGACATGGCATTGTGACAT